GTGGCATAGCTGATCAGTGAGTAAGGATAGGCTTCTGAAGCTGTAATAATTGGTTGCCAGTTAGTGCAAGGACAAATATGAAATTGGACCTCTACCTTACACTATACAGAAAAATTAGTTACTATTGGATTAAGAACCTAAATGTGAGAGGCAAAAATATATAACTTTTAGGAGGAATGTAGTAGAATATCTTTATGAGATCAGAGTATGGAAGGATAATCTGAAGCCAGACCTAAAAAGCACTAGCCTTAAAATGTAGGATTGATAAATTCTACTACATTGCAATAAAATAAAAAGAATTTCTGCTCATCAAAAGTCACATAAAGACAATGAAAAGAAGGGCCACAAACTAGATGAAGAAATCCTTGAGAAAGGATTTCTTTCTGGAATATATAAAAAACTCATTTACATAATAGGAAAAAGAGACAAACCACCAAATAGAAAATTGGGCAAAAAACACAGGAGAGGCACTTTACAGAAAGATGAATGCTGAATAAACACATGAAAAGACTCTCAACCTCACTAGTAATGGAGAGTTCAATTTTAGTATATGTGCTGCCGAAGCGAGCATAGTAATGGAGAATTCAAATTAAAACACTATGGGATACAATTGATACCCACTGAATTTACAACAATTTACGAAGTCTAACAATATCAAGAGTTGGTGAGGTTTGAGAGCAATTGGAATATGTGTACATTGCAGGTATAAACATAAATTGGTACAGTTATTTCAGAAGATAATTTAGCAGTTTATAGTGAACTTAAAATGCCCAAGCCCTATGACCCAGGAGGTATGTATGTACCTGAAGAAACTCTTGCTTATGTGCACCATATGATATATACAAGAATGTTCATTGCAGCACAGCAAGATAGAAAAAATTCCTAGGAAAACACAAATATCCTTTGATAGATAACTGGATAAACGAATGGTGATATATTTACAAAATGAAACACTATACAACAGGGGGGAAAGAGAGAGAGATAGAGACAGGGAGAGAGACAGAGACAGAGACTTAGAGACACAGGCAAAAACACTGAATCTCAGGAACATAACACTGACCAAAAAATGATGTCATGGAAAGACACTGACAGAATGAATCCTTTTATGTTAATAAAAATACAAATTTAAACAAATGTTGCATAGGAATCAAATACATGTAATAAAATAAAAGAAGAGCAAGCAGAGATAAACAATAAATTTGGGATGAAGGTTACCTTTAAAGGGCAGAAAAGAATGTGGAACTTGGGCAGGACAACTAGGAGACTTGAAAATTAATTATAATGTACTATTAAGGGTGCCTGTGTAGTGGGAACATGAGTTTTTAATATAGCATCATTCTTTATAACTCTAATATAGTATGAATTTTATTTTGTATATATTTAATAACTAATAAAATAGTAAAGAAAATGGGAACAAAGATCGTAAGTTGTGAATTGATAAATATTCAGGTCAGGGGTAGTGAGTTTTGGTGCACAGGTGGTTTCAGCAAAGATTGTGAATGAGGAAATATCAGGAAAGAAGAGCAGTTGGGTGGGTGGGGGGATTACTGGATATGAGTAGATTAGTAGAGACCCCAATTAAAACTTTACATCTAATTTGACTGGGATATAATTTTGGGTTCCGAGTAGAGGACACTTGTGAGAATGAATCATGAAGACAGTGACTCTTGTATGATTTGGGATAAGGCACAGCCAAAGATCAAGGCTGTCTGAATCTTTCAGATGTGACAGAGTTGGAACAAAAAAGTGAGTGAAACAAAAGCAGATTTCTATTATTTTTATAAGGTTTGTAATGATGGTAGAGGACACATGTCCATGAAATATAGTAAGACACAATGTGTGTATCTCAAGCTCAGACTCCATGAGTCTTCACTATGAATTGAAAATGTAAAACTATTCTCATAAATAAATAAAAAGCTTGAGACTTAAGTCTGTCAACACAAATATTGTAACACCTTTTTGTTTTGTTTTGTTTCATTTTAAATTTTATTATGTTATGTTAGTCACCATACATTTTTTTAAAAAATAATATGGTCCTAGTGGTTCTGAAGATAAACTTAGGAGTCTGACAGCGTACACCTACAACGGAAAGCCTTTCATGAAAGGCTGTTAAACTCAGTATTTCCAGACATGGGCCTCTCTTCAAAAGTTTTAAAAAATGGAGAAAAAAATCTTTTGTTTCTTATAGACATAAAATAGTGCTCAAATGCATAATTTTCCTTTGAATTTATTACAGGAAATACTTATATTTTATATATTTCATATTGCTATAGTGGAGATCATCCATAACTTGGTGTTAATGCACAGGGATGAGGGTGAAAGGGGTTGGATGTGGTCCAGGGAGGAGGAACGGAGATCAGTGAGCTCAACTAGTCAGTGAACATGAAGTCTTGCCAAGCTCTGTATGAACGAGCATTTCCATTGTACTGAACTTTATAAATATAAAATTTAATTGTGTCTTCAGAACAACATGGTTTATTTGGAAGCCAAGGCTCAGGTTTTCATGTCTCAAGAGTTATTGGCCTTAAAAGGGACCATGCAAACAGGGCAAATCGCATCTGACCAGTAAACTCTGTGGTCAGTGCTGGAGAGACATCCTGAGGTTTCCTTCCCTGGTTGTCGGGCACTGTGTAAGTTTCCCATAGGTAGGGCAAGAGAACAATGACCAAGGTTTACTTTTTGGCTCCTCTTATAAGATAGGGGCTTTGGAGTAAAACATTGAGATACAGAAAATAAAGTGTTATTTCTTAAATTCCCAAATTTGGAAACAGAATCATACCAAATACTAGTATTTAGAAATCATGTACTGTCCTCAAGAAAGGCTGTAGGTTTAATCATTCTCAGCAAAATTTTTTGAGATCATCCCAAAAATCCTAGTTAAATTCCTACTTGTTTTGCGTAAGTACCTATAAATGTACCTATATATCAAGAAGGTGGACTCTATTATCTGAGTATTAGAATTATATTTTTGTAGAGAGAGTCAGTAACGTTAGGTAAGTACCATTAAAAAGAAGTCTCTTAAAGTGTTTCTGTTTGGGTACAATACACATCATAGCTGTGTGGAAGAACGCCCCCAACCCCTTTTTGGTCTTAGGGACAAAGCAGAAGGGAGCTAAACTTTTACCCGTGGATAGGAGATGACTGGAGACAGCAGACTTCCCCAAGGAGGGAGGAGGGGCATCTGCATTCTGTCCTATGACATTGTGAGCCTCAGTAAGGACCAACTAAGAGACTCATAGAACAGACCCCCTATCTGTTTTGAAGTTTTGATATGTCAAGTTAGCATGAAAAAAATAGGTTGAAAAAAATAAAAGTTTACTCCAAAATTATTCTTCTAATATTAAACCTCAAAATCAAACAACTGAAAAATATCCTGTTGGGCTACTAACCATATCGTTTCACAGTAAACTACTTAAAAAATTTATTTCATGTTCTAAAAAATTTAATCAGTTTTCCTTTCTTCTTTATATCTAAGTTAAATAAGCGATGCCAACATACCATGACAGGAATAACCATAAAGCTAGAGAGCTGGAAAAAGTCAATGAGCTGAACCTATTCTGGTTTGAGGTAAATGAGATGAGGCAGACAGAGACAGGTACTGCTCCAAAGTGTCTTTCTCAGAAATGATACCCAACACATGTTAATGTATTTATTTGACCGATTCTCGTTAACGTGTGACTAAGACAATGGTAACAGCATTCCATTAGTTCATGCTTTAGGACTCTTGGGAAGGTACCTCCAATTTGACACCCAAACACTGTGACTCCCTGTTGGCACCCCCATTTTATGTTATGACATTGTTCCAATGGCCAGACTACTGAGTATTTGCCTTTGATTTTGGACTTTTGTTCTGCACAGTGTTATTTATCCCATAGGGGTTCAGTGAGTCTATTGTTTGATTAACTTCATACGGACCAGAAGGCACATCCTTGCACAGGTTGTAGTGTGTCCATCCAAACACACTTTGTTCAGCACTTTTCCTAAAGTGGTATTTATTTGGACTGTTTTGGAAGATGTTAATAGGTATGTTGCCGAACAAATAAATCATGGTAAAATAAGTTTGGTAAAAATGCTATAATATATCTCATTCTTGGATATTGATAATGCAGATTAAAGGATAAGATTCTGGAAAAAAGAAACATTCAGTTGCGTTTAACTCATATGTTTATCTATATATCTATATATCTATATACATGAACACAGAGTAGGTTTTGGATGGCACACTTGTGAGCATCCAACAAAATAGTGTGCTCTCAGAACAGTGGTTTATGAGATACCCTGAAATATTTAGAAAAATACTTTACATTTATTTCTTTGCCATGTTTCAATTTGGAATATCCTCATGCAAAAAGATAATTTAATCTCTTCAATTATATATTATTTACACTACAAAAATGAATGGACACTTGCTACTTACCTCTACCACTAGTGATCCCTGCTGGTATCTGTTATTTCTGCAGGAATTTCACCTTGATATCAAAGTGATGTCTAACTTATAGTATAATAAGGTATCCACATTATCAATATCATTTTTTAGATGGAGAAAAAAACTAAAAGAAATATTTTTCAAAAAGAATTAGTTCAAAGTATTATCTTGATTCTTGAGATTTGTTTGTTTTGTTTCCTTCCCCAGGTTTAAATAAAAGTTTAAATAATTCAACCATGGCATAGAGACTGCCAGGAAAAGTCATTCGGAGCCTTTTATTGTTCACATTTAAAAGATTTAGGGATTCATTACTATTCCATTGAATAAAAATTCAGGAGATAAAGAAAATAGTCCGTTATGTTTGACAAGGGAATGCATGAACCCTACATTTCCCTAGTATAGCACCCTCCATTAAAGGGTGTTTGTGCATTTATTAGTTTAGACCCTCAAAACAATCCTGTGAACTAAGCAGAGCAGGAATCATTATTCCCACGTCATGTACATAGATGTTTGAGGAACTGAGAAACTAAAGGGCATTCATAATAATATCATTAGCTCAGTTCACTACAACTGCCTCTATTATTGAGCATGGCCCCCGTGCCAGGCACTGACTGATACCTGCCCCTGTCCTGAGAGAGAGGACTGAGAGTCAGCAACAGCCTCAAACTAGAGCTGCAAGACTCACGGTCTAGAACTTTGCCTACTCTCTCATTGCTCTTACCCAGATTTTGGATGTCACATTTGCTATGCCACTCAATCCTGGTCTGGCTGTGGAAAGTAGCATGTAAGTCCCCAGGAGTCTTGGCATCATGGGGGCAGGATGTATGATTAAAAGAATGCTGTAAGGAGATCTGTCTGGCGGCAGTGGGAAATACATTGGACCCAGTTGATTGCTTGAGACGTCTTGTCCAGGTAGGTTCACAACACGGTGGTTTGATGGAGCTGCCCGGAAGTGCTTTTACTCTAAGGAAAAAAAAACGCACCAGACTTGCAAATGCAAGTGTAGTCTACCGTGTGCTCTAAAATATGGACATTTGAAGTATTTTAAGCCTAAAGCTGAAAGTGGAGCTAATTTGGTACAAAAGTAAATGGCTTTCTAATCTTGTTGTTTTTCCCTTCATGGAATCAAAGCTAGTTTTAACACTTGAAATATGTCCTTTATAGTATGTTAAAATATTCACTGTTATGGGAATGAAACTGTAGTCTAATTTTACTGGGCAGTCCCTGAATTGTGACCATTTTAATGAGCCTTTGGACCTGGTTTCATAAATTAGTTCTGACACAGCACTATGGCACGTTGGCCTCTGGTTATTAGAATGCTAATGCAAAGATCACTGGTTGGCCAGATTCCCATTTGTTACCAGAAAATGCTCTATGCTCCCAGGCTCTGGCTGCAAGGGCAAACAAAAGTGGAAGCTTGAACTTATTACTAATTACTTGGTAAGCCACATCATGTGACTTATTTAGATTCAAATTGGTTTTTCCCCAATAGAAACTGAAGTGAAAAAAGTGGGCATGTATAGTTGATGCTCTTTTTTTATTTACTGTCTACTGCTTTCAATGGTTATATTAAGAAGAAAATAAAAATGCCACAAATCATTCATTTTCAATGATCAAATAATTACTGAACCTACAGAATGTGCCAGGTACCGTACTAAGTACTGGGTAAATGTATATGAACATGGTGTTCTCTGGGATGTCACAGAGAGAGATGAACCTGCAGCTGACCACAGCTAATCTGATAAACGTCACAATCAAGATGACTAGTTCGTGCTTTGGGAACGTGGTGGCCTTCCCTCTATGGCTGAGGATGCTCTCAAGAGTCCATTCTTGGTACCTGATGTGGTTTCCTCCCAAGACACCACTTACAACGTTAGCAGTCTCACAGGGTTACATCTATCAGCAAACTCTGCAAAAGCCGCTGCTCTATCCATTAAGCGGTAGAGACCTGTTTCTGTCCTTTTGTTTATTTTGCTTTTCTCATCAAAACTCCCATTAGCTAATTGTTAAAATACTTTTGATTTTCCTGAAGCCTAAGTGGCCATGAAACTTGAGGAAACTTTACGGCACTGGTGCATATTTACTCAATGTCTAGTTTAAAGTTATTTAACAGCGAATACAAGCATATTATCACACAGGTACAGAACAATTTTTTAAATCAAATTTGAATTTCTTTAATTCCTCAAACTTTCAACTTGCATCATTTTTTTCTCTATCACTTTATCTCTTATATTACCTTGGGTATATTTTTTGAAGAATGCTTTTCTATGTTCTATGAACATCTCTAAGAATCTCTACAAAGGTAAAAATGAAGGATTATATGTTTTATTAAGAGATAAAGGCTCCAGAAACCAAATGAATCAAATCTGAAATTTGGATAAATGTTCACCAGCAGCACCTTGAATTTGTTTAGGACCTTGCTTAACAAATTTACAAATATACTTAATGACCTATTGACATTAAGAGTAGAGACAACTGTTGTGGTAATTAAGACCAAAAATACCTGGTAGAAAAATAATCTTAGCCAAATATTCATTATCAGTGCATGGACTTAACAGTATTAGTTTCTTTGCATCCCAAGAGTTTATTTAATTTCATACTTGAGGACAAAATATTCCTTAAGGGAAGTAAAGTTCAAACACAGAATCTGGATTAATAGTTTCCTCTTGAGAACTCTCAGATTTCCATCAGTGAAGTAAAGTAGATCCCAAGCTTTGGGTATTGTTTCCCTGTATTCTCTTCCTTGTCTACTCTCTCTCTTTTCATATATGTATAGATAAATTTATTTTCTCAGGTCCTTTCTCTGATGACTTTGCATTCAGTATTTAAAACACCAAAGCTACTGTATTTAGAGTATTTTATAATTCATAAATATAATGAAACACCAAAGCTAACGTTAGGTAGCTTAACGTATTTTATATTGAGATTAGCATACAACTCTGATCCTCAAAGTTCGGTTGGCAAACAGACAGCATCTGTATCCTGTTAGAATTGCAGAATCCAGGTGCGATCTCAGAACTAATGAATCAGACTACATTTTAACAAGACGCCCAGGTAACTGCTATGCACATTTAAGTTTGAGAAGCAATGGAATCTAACATATTTAGCTTAAATCACTTCCTTTAATTATTGTTTAAGGATTTTACTTTTTTTAAAACTGCTATGAAAAGGAAGTATTAAGAATTCTGAGCAGACGACATCACTCACGATCAGAGAAATGCAAATCAAAACTACCATGAGGTATCCCCTCACCCCCTTCAGAATAGCTAAAATCAATAACACAGAAACAAGTGTTGGTGAGGATGTGGGAAAAAAAGGACCCCTGTGGGAACGCAAACTGGTGCAGCCACTGTGGAAGACAGTATGGAGGTTCCTCAAAAAATTAAAAATAAAACTACCCTAAGATCTAGTAATCACACTACTGGGTATTTACCCAAAGAATACAAAAACACTAGTTTGAAAGGATATATGCACCCCTATGTTTACTGCAGCATTATTTACAATAAGTAAAATATGGAAGTAGCCCAACTGCCCATCGATAAGATGAATGGATAAAGAGGTGGTACACACACACACAAACACACACACACACACACACACACGCACAATGGAATATTACTCATCCATAAAGAAGAATGAGATCTTATCATTTGCAACAACATGGATGGAACTAGAGAGTATAATGCTAAGTGAAATAAGCCAGTCAGAGAGAGACAAATACCATATGATTTCATTCATAATGGAATTTAAGAAACAAAACAAATGAACAAATGGAAAAAAAAAAAAGGAAACAAACCAAAAAACAGACTCTTAACTATAGAGAACAATTTGATGGTTACCAGAGGGGAGGTGGGTGGGGGGATGGGTGAAATAGGTGAAGGGGATTAAGAGTACACTTCATCCTGATGAGCACCGAGCAATACATGGAATTGTTGATTCACTATATTGTACACCAGAAATTAATATAACACTGTATGATAACTACACTGGAGTTAAAAATTCTGAGCAGAAAAATAAAGCATTTAGGGAACAAACTTGAAAAATGCTTTTTTAAATGCTTAGAATGGCCTAATAGTATCTTAATGTCATCTTTGATGATAATTATAGTTGCTAGTATTTGCACATCATTTAACATTTGATCACATTTTCACACGTCTTAAAAATTTTTCACAATAATCTTGTGATATGGGTCTTACCGCAGATTCCCATTTATACAAATTGAAGTTGAGAAAGTATAAATTATTTGCACAAGATAATATAGCTAATAAGTAGGGGTGCCAAGACTCTGAGTTCAGGAGTTCTCACTCTAAATAAACATCATGTTTTATAGATGAAGTTTGACTTTTCAATTAAAAAATAGATGTATCACTTGTGGCAAGGCTTATAAAATTTATTGGCAAATTACTCAAATATTTCATAATTTAAAAGATAAATTTTTCACAAAGTCTTCATGAACATAAATAATGTAGAAAACCATTAAATTCAATCTTATTGTTAAAATTCCATGAGATAGCAAAACTTCAAAGAGCTCTGTGACCGAAAATGTAAGCCTAGGAGAGCCAGAAATCAAGGAAATGCAAAGGATCTAACCTTCACCAAAAGCAGGAAAGAAATAGATTACCTGATATTTAAGAACAAAGCCAAGCTATGATAAAAACAAGAATAGACAAGATTTAATCACATAAATTTTTTTTTAGATATCACCATGCAACAATATGTAGAGGACTTTAAAATGACTCCACTTGTATCATATCCTCTCTCTAGCCAGCCACATTTCACACCTCATGCCCTACTCCACTCCCCCACTTTTCCCCCTCCAGGTATACGGATCTCCTGTTTCTCAGGCAGTCCAGGTGTGTCCGTCTGCCTTTGGCATTAGCCACTTCCTCTCTCCCAGCCTCCTCTCCCCCTACATAATTCCACGGCTAATTCCCCTAATCCCTTCAAATCTTTGCTCAAGTGTCACCTTCTCGCCTATTTAATGTGAGGCATTTCATTTCACTACACTTCTCACACTCACAATCCCCATTACTCTGCTTGAATTTTTGTTTTCCAAAGGATTTATCACTTCCTCATTCGTGATACAATTTATTTATTCATTATGCTTATTGTTTATCTGTAGGTGATGCCCTACTCCCCATGCTAAAATGTTGGCTCCATGAAGCCAGGGATCTTTGTTTTGTTCACAAATATATTCAAAGCACCTAGAATACTTGGCGAATAGATGGAGTTAATAAGTGTTTGCTGAATACATGAATGACTTAATCCATGAATTAGTGACTCTTTTACCTGAACTTCAGGGGCTCAATATGGCTGTCAAAGGTAGAAAGTAGAGTCAAGAACAAGGTTATAGTTACAGTGACCATAAAGTTTAGTATCTACATGAGTCACTTTTGGGTGTGAATAGGGCATTAAAAATATTAAAATTATATAATTTTGAAAATTTATTTAATTGATCAACAAATTGGTTTATTACATCACTGGTTCTATAAAGAGAAGTAATCAAAAAGATTTTTAAAAATTCTTAACTGTTTAAAGTGAAGAAAAATTAAAACAAATTTCGGTTGATTATCTGAATATGAAATATAACATAAACTGACTAATTTTTCCATGGCGCTTTGATCAGTTTACACTGTGTCACTTACATTTTTCTATAAAATTTGTTTTTCAGTTATCTTATTTTAAATTTTTCGTAAAATTTCACAAGTCTTCCTCAAAGTTGCACTTTGCCATTAATGGTTTTGACATTATTGAAACTTTCAAATTATTCCACTCTGTAAATATAATATTTTTAACTGAGAAAATACTTCTACAGGTGCTGAGGAAGATCAGCTCAGAACTATTGTAAGTGGAAAATATTCTTAATTCTATTTTTATGTCGATATGTGTAACTGTATTAGACCAAATATTTT